AAGCTGTCTAAAAGAAACTGAGCCAAGTAGAGCCTTTGTCTTTGGCTTCTATGTGCCCTCCCCACCTTCACAACAGGGGATTCGACCAATCGTTGCCTCGCAAGCTGTTGGACAAGACCCTCACCAGCAGTCCTGCTGAATTATTAACGCAGCCCCACAGAGCAGAGCGAGAACAAACCTGGGGAAGTTTATACTACACTGCAGCAAGGACAACTGGATATTCCTCAATCACAGCTTATGTATCCTGAGTAATGATTAGAAGATGACAGAGTGGAAAGAACAAGTGGCAATTTTGCTGATTGTTCCCACATTACCCTTGACACAAACATTGTCTTACAGTACCACCAAAGTGTAATTAACTGTCAGTCTCCGGGACAAAAGAGAGAATGTTATTGCATATAAGAGGTGTGCATCTAAAGTTAAGTTGTCACTCACTTGCTAAAAGTTGTGATGCACGACAGTTGGCTACTTTTTTTCCCCGGCTTGCAAAAACCCAAGAAACCAAGATGCTGCATTTAATTCAGGACCAGAAAATTGATTTTCAAATCGAGTCTAAAATATTCATTCTAACAGAGAGAAAGTAAAAAAAAAAAAAATACATTGAAAACCCTGCACTTCGTTTTGATTTGATTGATTTAGGAATGCACATGGTGCTTCTTTCTAATTTAGAGAGAAAGAGAGATATTCTTGAGCATTTACTTTCCAAATCGCACTGATGTACAAAAACATCTGCGCCAGCATGTGCAATTTCATATATTTATATATATATATATATATATCTCAAGTGGATTTATTTACACCACAAATGGGAGGATTTACAACATGTTTGACACTGTCCATGTCAACCACCTGGAACTCACATGTGAGACGGATCTCTGCAGTAATGACCAAAAAAAAGTTACTTTTCACCTCATTCTCCTTCCCACACGCTCCATTGTTCAACCCCCCCAAACTTTTACGTTCCATCTCTCACGTCCTCTGCTTTAAAAACTTGTCCTTCCGACAGAAACACCGCAAGGGTTCTTTCTGTCTTCCTGCTGTTGTCAGCTGCCAAAACACGCAGGTTGCAGCGATGAGCACTATAAATATGATGTACAGCTTATGCAGTGCCACTGGCCTCACAACACGCGCCAAAGGAGTGAGGGGGAGCAGGTGCCATGCAGATTTATGACACTCAGCGAGAACTTTACCCTCCGCATAACCTCATGCCCCAGCGAGCAGAGAGTCCGGCCTGTGATGGCTGAACACATTCACTCCTCTATGACAAAACAGCATGTGGGAGAAATACGGCGTGAATGTAAAAATGTGCAATTGTTTGGATGCACTTTCATAACTTTGCCAGTGGCAACTGGCACTGCTGAAATTTCTCCAGCCACCCCCTTGTTTGGAAAGTTTTGGAGAGTTTGAAAGTGCTGTTGTTGACTTTGTCAATTCAAATAAATTGATAGAGGTTGTAATTTCTGTGGAAATTGCATTTTAAATAGAGTATCCCTACTTAATGTCCAGTCAGATGCGAATCAGAATTTGTCTCAGCATTTCTGAATATGCTGGTTTGGAACCAACACACGTTTTTCAAATCTGCCAATCAGGTAGAAACTCATTTGACAGTCATGAGGGGACCATATGGACCACCAGACTCAACACAAAAAAGGGGGTGTTGAACTTTTTTTTTTTTTTATCCAGTCTTTTCCCTTCAGGAAAGTGCAGGCCACTTATGACTTAAGCTTAAAAACGACTTTGGAATTTTAAAGGCTATTTAATTTTGTGCACCAAATGGCGCTTAGCTGGCACTTGGCAACAACAAAACCAGTTTATATTCCTCACCCACACTAATCTCACCGGCAATAATAAACAAATTTAAATTCTTTATCCTGTTCCAAACAGACGTGTTGCAGAATAATGAGAACCTCGGCACCACCAGCTTCTTATCTCCAGCTAGTCCTCTCCTTTCATTCTCCACAACACTCCAGTCACTCTTGACAGAATTAGCCTGGTTCAGCATTGAGAGTTTTGCCTGATGGCCCTATTTCCTAGGACGCAGGGAGAGTTAAGCTCCGGGATTTGTGATGAAAAGAGATGGGGTAAAACGAATATAAGAAGTGCCCACATCCTCTCGCTCTTGTGGAGAAACCCCTCTGGTTGACTGAGGTGGAGTAATTACATCTCAAGTGGGATCGGACCTAAAGGAAGGACCTGCATTTACCATGTTTTCCACCCTGGGGAGTAGCAAGCGCTTTGTGGGGAATATGCTTTATGGATAAGCTCCATTGTAAGAGTGCTTGTGTTCCACGAGGGGTGGAAAATTTTAACCCTGAACGTGTGAGATTTGCATTCACACATCCCTGAGGCAGAAACCACAGCCACTAATAATACAGGGCATTAGGAAGGCAGTCATACTAATGATTCTGTGGCATTCAAGGTCAGGTTTTTAGGCCTCAGCCGGACCCTGTAATGAGGATCCACAGGAGAATATTCAGTCTTTTGCCGTGTTTACACCTATTATTAAGATGCGATTTGGTCTGTCTGATCTCAAGTAGACGAGGGAGATATTCCCATTAACACCTGGTGTTTTAGTCTCTTTTTTCCACTTTCGACCACTTCTGTCCTGATTTCTTCAAGGGTCTATGGGTGGGTAAATCTATATGGTTTTTCAGAACTTTCAATCAAATGGATGAAATAACCTCATGCAGTTTACATATAAACAAGACCGAGACTATGGAAAAACACATGGAGAGCAGCAACTTTAGTTTCTTCTCCGATTGCCGCAAGACCCCACTAAACGCTTTGAGCGCATGTTAGAAATCAAAAATGAGGAGAGAACATTGTGCAAAGAAATTGGTAGAGTCCATCTTTTGTGTCTGTTCGAACACATTTGACCACATGAGCGTTGAACGCAACGAAAGCAATCCAGTCCAATTGGTTTTCGATTTCGACTACCTCCAGAAGTGGTCGAAAGTGGACTAGCTCAAAATAATATAGACACCATTTACAATTGTATTTAGTGTCGTCCACTTGTGATCCGATCGACCAGCATGCATCTTAATACAAAGAGTAAACAGGGCCATACCTTGACAACCAGGTGCATATGGAACCTCCAGACTTCAAGTTTTACACAGCATGGTGGACCCTAACACTATGCGCAGTGTTGTTGCAACAAGATACATAAAGACTATGCATCACAAACGGATGAAACACTTCATCATACCACTCAATTCATAGCTATTCATTCCATTTCAAAGATTCAATCTATGATAAGGGCAAGAGATACAGAACACTTTCATGGCATACATTTGAAATGCCACAGATTTCTGGACAAACATTTGCTGTTGACCTTCAATTTTCCTACTTCCCAGCAGTCCCTCTTCAAAAGAGTTTAAATAAATAGCCTGTCAGTGAGACAGACACAAGAGATCTGTTTGCTTTCAACTTGTAGAAGGAAACAGCTCTAAAAATTAAAGACAATGTAATGCATCTTTGATGCTAATTTTTGGGGGCTAAGGGCTTTTCAGACAAAAATTCACCACCACTCTTTGCACAATAATAGTCTACAAAGATTACAGGCCTGTTCCAATTCCTATTGAGCTGCTTCGTTGAATAATACTTACAAAGACAGCTGCCTTCTATGGCAGAATAATAACTAAAATGGAATATCATAAGTGATTGATCTAGCTAAACTACTTTGGGTAAAACTTTTAAACTATTATTGCTACAATCCAGTATTGAAAGAATTACATTAATAATGTACCATTAAATTTCAGTTATCAGTAGACATATTTGAAGCTGCCTTAAAAATTTAAACCAAAGAAGTTATCTTAAGAGGTAGAACGATTAAATTAACTACCTTTATCAATGCCATTTGAAAAGCTTTAAATGCATCATACACTACCATTCAAAAAATTAAATATACTTTTATTCAGCAAGAATGTATTAAATTGATCAAAAGTGCTGTTTTTTTAACATTCTATTCATCAAAAAAGGACGAATGAACGAGTAATGATGCTGAAAATTCACTTTTGTTATCGCAGAAATAAATAACGTTTTAAAATATATTGACATAGAAATATTAAATACACAAGGAATATTAAAAGCAGCCTTGGTGAGCATAAAATACTTTTGTCAAAAACATATTGAAAAACTTATTGACCTTAAACTTTTGAACAGTAGTGTATGGAGAAGGGTTATGACACAGAGCTAGGCAATAACCATCATCTTTACTCTATCTCTGTCCTTGTGAGATTCTGAAAGCGAGTGCTCTCCTGAGGCTGTAGTGTCATTCTCTATGCTCTCTACCAGCTATTCTCATCTTCCACTGGATCACCCACGTAGTCAGAGCCGCCTTTTCAGTTATCGACTTGTTTCTCCAGTGAAGGTCAAAAATGTTAGCTAGCTTTCACCACACATAACACCACACACATTGCAGGAGATTCTCCGCTCCGGGCCCCTAGAAGGTGAACTCTATTTCCACTTAAGCAAAAAGGGTCAGGGATCTTCTATTGCCGATTGACTAATCTCAACTGAGTGCATTTAATCTGGAAATTGAGGTTCTGGCCGACTCTATTCCTTTAAGTAACAAGTGTCACAGCATTCATGGCTTATCTCCCGAAAGTAACATGGAAAGGGTGTCCAATTTCCCAAGCTTGACTTAAGTAACATTTGTAAAGAATATAAACGGTTTATAAATGGAAAACCCTCACTCAATACAGATGCACCGACAGACTTAAGGTGAAGGTTATGCAAAACCATCCATGGAAATCAAGGCGGAATAAAATACTCTACAGAAGGACCTGCAATGATTGGATCAGAAACAGGTCATATCTGCATAAAAACTTATGCTATCACCTGGCAACCCAAGCAAAACAAGTAGTGAAAATTCTAAAGCTCAAGGAAGAGATCAAATGACACACAATAAAGCAAACTTTATCTAAATAATATATTTGAGAGAAGTTCTTCTGTGGTAAATATAAAGCAGTATTTTAAGGATTAAAAATAAATAGCAGTACCTGTGTAGCCCAGAGAGTTGTCATCATCATGTTCTGCAGTGGGGGCTTCTGTGGCCCTATTGCTAGTCCCCTCCTGAGTCCCCGTGTCTGTTGGAAGTAACACAGACTCTGAGTCCTCGAGCAAAGAGTATTGGGCTAACGGCATCATGGTAGCGCCCCAGTATCCCTGATACCAACAGATAAGCAGTACTAGGCTCTGCAGACAGTGACTTTTAAAAAGTCTCTGTCTGAAATTGCAACCTCCAAACTGCATTATCATCATATCACGAAATCGCTTCCCGAAAACACCATAAATAGAAGCCCCAAGGTGTTAATCAGTTGTTAGCCATTAATCCATTGGAGAATCCCAAGAGTGCAAGTCCTAAATATGGTGTTTTCCTTCTCTTCGCAGACCTAAAGAGGTAAAGTTAGCCCTGAACGTCTATGTGTATGTCTAAAGGAGTGACAATGTGTGCCCTCTTGCAGCAGACGGTCCTATAGAAGCTCATGGACAGAGCTAGGATTGCAAATACACACACAAAGTCACTGACACACACCCTATTAGCTCTACATAGTCATTGACTGAACTAATTCCCCAATCAGCGCATGTCGCTTTTCTGGAAGATGGACTGACAGCCCTCCTCTACGCCGTGTTTAGAAAGGGAGGACCGGGCTGGGGGTGTGGCAGATGCCCCCCATCATGGCGAGGTGTGGGATAAATCAGACTGGGGCCATGCCCACTTCTATTGTTGGGCACTGACAGGGGGTTAATTTGGGATGAGGGGAGGTGAAGGGGCCTGTTTAATATAAAGGGGGTCAGAATGGGCCAGATGACTGGGAAGCATCCTGTCAGGACCGTCATGGGCCGTGAATGAAGATTGGCATCATTTACGGAGATAAAAAAAGCAGACAGGCAAAACAAAAGGAAGTCATCGGAGAGCACTTAGGGCTCTGCGAAGTGTGACCACGGTCTGTCCTTTCGTTCACCCTGTCGCTAGAGCTCGAGCTACTGTTTCGACATTTTAAAGTCATAATTGAGTGCTTGAATGAATTTCAGGAGAGGTTAAATGTCGATTTTATGACTTGGGCCACACTAGCCAGCACTTGTGTTGATACATTTAGGGAAATGACACTTTTAGCCTGCTATATGCTGAGTTGGCCGTTTCTCAACAAACACCTCGGTGAGTACGTTCGCAAAATCTCAAGGTTGAGACCGTCAGGAGACTGTTGGCGATCTTAGCTTGTGTTGGAATCATTCAAGCAGTCAAAATACAACACACTTTGCACACAAGTTCACAAACACATAACATCAAGCATGCAAACAAATCTGTCTGTTTGTGTAGACACCATACCATTGTAAAACCCCCATTGTCTTTTTAAGCATATTCAAGTATATTTTCGAACATATGCATATGAGTTTACAGTTTAAAACAACCAAATGCACAGTACATTTTTAAGAAACATGTAACTAACCCTAAACAGAATTAGCTCAACCTACAGAATTCAGAAAAATAGGATCAATCGTCCAACACAAAATTCTACATAACTACATATACATATCAATGCATTAAAATCAAATTTACATCTACACATCAAATATTTTAGATTATTTGCTAATGCTTTCAGCTAACAATGTGCTATATATTTACACAAAATATTGTTCTAAATGTGAAAACAAATTCAACAATCTGAATATTTACAGCCAACTTCACCTGACCGCTAAAGGATTTTGAATGCCGATACCGATACAAATATTTGTTGGGTTTAAAATCCGATATATCGGCCGATATATATATTTTTTTTTAATTTCAGAAACACACAAAAAAAAACATTAACAGATTTCCCTGACATTAGTTATTTGTAGTTATTTATGAGTTTTATGATATGAGTTGTATTTTATGAGTCTCGTGACCAACTCAACAAGTGTTGCCTCTGGTGGATAAACTATACAACTCCAACACTCATGACATGGTTGAAGCGTGTTTCGTCTGTTTTTATTTTATTTTTGAAATATTCATTTATCAGCCATTATAACTGCCCATACCGATAGTTTGGAAAATGCCCAATATCGGCCGATAATATCGGCCTGCCGATAAATCGGTCTGACTCTACTTACAAATATGCAGTTTAAAAATACAAACCTATGAAATGTCTCAATTTAATTTTGTTAAATGTAAATGTTTTCACCTGTTCCATAAATCCTACATCATCATAAATCATCCTACAACTCTTTAAAAAAAATTAGAAAAAGCTTATGAGATTTTACCTGGGCCGGTATATACCTACCAAACAAATTCTCAGCTCAAATACATGTTTCAGAAAGACATTGACCAAAAACTGACATAGGAAGCCCAAACATATTTGAACAAAGCACAGATATTATATCCCCAAGGAGAACCAATGCATGAATATTCTAGTTCCAAAACTGTACTGACAACTGAAAAATAGGTTTTATTGTGGGCTTAAGAGAGTGAATACTTCACGACCCATTAACAGGTGGTGTGCCCAGATGCCCTGGAAGACACACAAGCAAAGACCTGGTGCTCAAATTCAAATGGCCCTGATCCACACAATCCAATCCAAAATGCCCTGCCTCCCCTGATGACTAATTAAACAGAACCTTATGTGGCTAGCTGACATGTCTACATGGGCACATTAGGAGGATGTTCCCCATGCACTCCAAAGCCCTGGCTCTGCCCTCATTTTCAGAAACACAGCCTGCGTTCTCGATTTCTGGCTTTATTGATTTAAGGAGAAGGTGATGTACTAGCTCAATAACAGTGGACCCAGACAACCCACATAAACACAACCGCAACAATTGGATTCGTTCATCTTAATGGCTTTAAAATCAAGGCCATTTGTTGGGCTAGCCATCAGTCGGTTAATTCTTTTTGAAGGCAGGAGAGGGCTAATGAACTACAAAGAAAAATGACTTACCATGTTAATCAGTACACTTGAACACCTCTATTTTGATGGCAATTTCTCATTTTTTGGTTCAGCCTAAAGGCCCTGACTTATGAAAGGGGTTTAATTAAGTCAAACGACCGAACTAGGCTGGACAAAAATGAATATAGGCAGGAAGAAAGAAATATGTGAATGGTGCACCCAGACTGCAAATTACCAAAGATTACGTTGAAAGAACGCGTGGAAGGACACCGCTGCTGGTCTACAGAAAAGAGGAATAATGTACCCACTCTTCTGAAAATAACATTAGGTCAAGATGAAAACCAGTTTAAATTAACCTTAAATTAATAGCATTGCTTGATACCTGATACAGTAATAATAACAAATCAGCTTGTGCCAGAAACAATCCAACAGTGCCTATCTAAAACCAGTTAAAATCAACAATCCTACAGGTTAACTGGAGCAAACTGTTCTAATATGTTTTTTAGAGGCAAAAAAATTAAAATATGGGGCCTCGTGTGCATCTTTTGTAGTTTATTTTTCAAATTTTTTGAATTTGTAGTTCTGAATGTCTTAGTCAGAAAACTGTATGAAGAGTTCAGATGCAAAAGCCTCTAAATGCCATTTGAAATTTTCTTCTAAAATGACTATTTTTTATCAAGCTTGTATATTTAAGTTCAGTAATTTCACTTAAATGACAATTAATAGGTAATCTTCATTGCCATTTAAGTGAAATTACTGAACTTAAATATACAAGCTTGATAAAAATGATCATTTTAGAAGAAAATTTCAAATGGCACTTAGAGGCTTTTGCATCCAACGCATTCTCACCCCAAGGCGTCACCTTTGACCATGCTTCAATATTTGACGTTTTAGGCGCCCTTTAGCGTCACTTACATGACGCGATCCTACGGCGTCCTCTAACTGACGCTAAAGGAAAGCGTCAGTTAGAGGACGCGGTTAGGTTTAGGTGTGGGGTGGGGGTAGGGTACACGCGATCCTAGGGCGTCATCTAACTGACGCTAAAGGGCGCCTAAAGCGTCAGATATTGAAGCATGTCCAAATGCTTCCCAAGGCGTCAGTTAGGTGACGCCTTGGGAGTGAGAATGGGCTGTTGCATCTGAACTCTTCGTATTTTTATCATTTGTATATTTACAGCTAATTTCAAAAACAATCAAATACACATCTTATAATATTTATAAAATGACTCAAATTACGAATTTACAATTTTAATAATGTTATGGGTATAAAATTCAAATTTAAAATTATAGTATATGCAAAAAAAAAAATGTAAATGTCTCTTTTTAACTGACAAAAAAAAAAAAGAGTGTGCATTGGCCGGTCATTTACACGACAATGCCGCTTTAAGGCCTGAAATGCAAACTTTTGAAAACAGGTTTCAAAGAGCACGTTTTTGAAAGGGGTAGAGTTATCATCTCCGTGTAAACTGCAAAAACGGGAATCTTTTAAAACGGTGACGTCATGTGAATGCGTGTTACGTGTTTAGTCTATAGACATAGTGTTTCTTTACAAAATTGAAATCTACACTTTAAAAAATGCAGGGTTGTTTTAAACCAAATTTGGGTCAATTATGGACGAACGCAACCATTAGTTTAAAAAAAAATAATAATTTAACCTAACGGCTGGGTTTGTTCATATTTGACCCAAATTTGGGTGTAAACAACCCAGCATTTTATAGAGTATACTGGCATCCGTGTGATCACAACATTGTCGTCTGTACGGGAAAACGCAAGAGGAAAAACTTTTCCATTTTTATTACATTGTTGTGTGGAATAGTGCATAGCTGTCAACATTGAACATTAAAAATAAGTGAGATTTCCCAGAATCCATCCCCAAAATAAGGGATTTTTTTTTTCTTTTATACGATTCTTACCCTCAAACTTTAAAAATAAAGCATTAACCATTTAAAGTCTAAAGAGTCTATAACTAGCCTACATATGTGTGAGAGAGAAAGAGACAGTGTGTCATTTAAAAAAATATATGTTAAAATACTCTAATATCAGCTTATGAGAGAAACCAGCAGGCTTTGGGGAAACGAAGGGGAAGTTGGTGGTGCTTCGGAGGCTGAGTGCTAGAGATGATTGGGAGAGGTCAGTAAATGGTAAAATGGTAAATGGACTGCATTTATATAGCTCCTTCATAGACCTAATGGCCAATAGACCAAAGCGCTTTACATTTGCCTC